GTCTGGTTAGGGCCTTGAATAAAGCACAATGCGCATATCGTTTTTAGATGATTTCAGTAAAATATATTATGTTTACTTAGAAGCATTGCTCAAAAACAAATGGGTGGTGTGCATGAATCATGCGTCCACTCAGTAACTTGTCCATACAGGGCAGTTTTGGGTTTAAGAAAATACGAAGAGTGGAAAAAGTGTCATTCCGTAAGAAAGTGTTTATTTTAAAAGAATAAGTTAATAAACTGTCTTAATTTGCCCAAAAAAAAAAGTTAATAAACTGTCTTATATAATTCCTCAAAAATTATTTGACTATTTGGTTACAAGTCCTTATCTTGTAGCGAGTAAACCAAAAATCCAGATGAAAATGTGGAAACCGGTGGATTCGATGTGTGAACCGTCAAACAGATGCTAAAAGGGTTTGTGAAGTGTTTGTAACGTGACTGCACAATTAAAAGTGCTAGTGGTGGGTGTTAATAATTGTACTCCTTTGTCAACGAAAAGTATTATTGATGTAGTCAGAAATATGTATGATATTCAGGGTAATTTTATTTATATAAGCTACAACATGGTTAATTAATTACTCAAACCAAAGCCAATACCTCGCTACAAGTAGAGGCATAACCACAAAGTCTTCTGATTTTTTTATGATGCAGTGTGATATTTTCAAATATCTTAAATATATTTATTATTTATTTATTTGTGTATTTTAATAATTATTAATTATTATTTAGAGCTTTTTAGAATATTTTAGAGTTTTTATGATTTATTATAAATAAATCGTTTAGACATTCATTGTAATTCAGACTTTGATGAATTAATAAAAAGGAGATTTCCTAAAAGAGTTTTTGATAAACCACTGTGAAGAGTATTCACAAACCCTAGTTTCCGGGTATTCTCAGAATTAACGGATCTAGTTCTATCCGTAGTAACTTCCGCTCCATCAGTTGGTATCAGAGCAGCGTCTCTTTGATTTCTTAATCGAAGAACGATTCTGGATCATGGTGAGTAGTTGCATCTACACTTTCGAGGACGGTAGTCCTTTTGTCGAGAGAGAAGAGAGCCAAGAGATTTGTAGAGAAATCTATGATGATCCGATATGAAGATGATGTTCGTGTTATGGACTTTATCTTCAAAGAAGGTTCCTTTGAGAATCTGGTGCGTGCAAAATCCGTGCACAGTCAGATTGGAATAAGATTCGTGCAAAATCCGGTTGGTGCGAAACTCGTGCATGATCGGATTCGTGCGAAAAACGTGCAGATTCAGATCCGTGCAAAGTTGGAGCAGAATCGAAGATCGTCTAGGTCGCAAGAGAAGCAGATCTGTGATGAGTTCGGTTCGTGCAAAATCGGTGCGGATTCGGTTTGTGCAAATTTTGTACAAAGTCCGGTTTGTGCAAAAATCGTGTACTACCAACAAGAAAACATTAAACCGATGTGGAAAAACCGGTTGAAGATTCGAGGACGAATCTTTCTTGGCCGGCGAGACCTGATGCAGCGTGATATTTGGAATATTTCCAAATATCTTAAATATATTTATTATTTATTTATTTGTGTATTTTGATAATTATTAATTATTATTTATAGCTTTTTAGAATATTCTAGGGTTTTTATGATTTATTATAAATAAGCCGTTTAGGCATTCATTGTAATTCAGACTTTGATGAATTAATAAAAAGGAGATTTCCTAAAAGAGGTTTTGATAAACCACTGTGAAGAGTATTCACAAACCCTAGTTTCCGGGTATTCTCAGAATCAACGGATCTAGTTCTATCTGTAGTTGGTATCAGAGCAGCGTCTCTTTGATTTCTTAATCGAAGAACGATTCTGGATCATGGTGAGTAGTTGCATCTACACTTTCGAGGACTAAAGTTCTTTTGTCGAGAGAGAAGAGAGCCAAGAGATTTGTAGAGAAATCTATGGTGATCCGATATGAAGATGATGTTCGTGTTATGGACTTGATCATCAAAGAAAGTTCCTTTGAGAATCTGGTGCGTGCAAAATCCGTGCACAGTCAGATTGGAATAAGATTCGTGCAAAATCCGGTTGGTGCGAAACTCGTGCATGATCGGATTCGTGCGAAAAACGTGCAGATTCAGATCCGTGCAAAGTTGGAGCAGAATCGAAGATCGTCTAGGTCGCAAGAGAAGCAGATCTGTGATGAGTTCGGTTCGTGCAAAATCGGTGCGGATTCGGTTTGTGCAAATTTTGTACAAAGTCCGGTTTGTGCAAAAATCGTGTACTACCAACAAGAAAACATTAAACCGATGTGGAAAAACCGGTTGAAGATTCGAGGACGAATCTTTCTTGGCCGGCGAGACCTGATGCAGTGTGATATTTGGAATATTTCCAAATATCTTAAATATATTTATTATTTATTTATTTGTGTATTTTGATAATTATTAATTATTATTTATAGCTTTTTAGAATATTCTAGGGTTTTTATGATTTATTATAAATAAGCCGTTTAGACATTAATTGTAATTCAGACTTTGATGAATTAATAAAAAGGAGATTTCCTAAAAGAGTTTTTGATAAACCACTGTGAAGAGTATTCACAAACCCTAGTTTCCGGGTATTCTCAGAATTAACGGATCTAGTTCTATCCGTAGTAACTTCCGCTCCATCAGTTGGTATCAGAGCAGCGTCTCTTTGATTTCTTAATCGAAGAACGATTCTGGATCATGGTGAGTAGTTGCATCTACACTTTCGAGGACGGTAGTCCTTTTGTCGAGAGAGAAGAGAGCCAAGAGATTTGTAGAGAAATCTATGATGATCCGATATGAAGATGATGTTCGTGTTATGGACTTTATCTTCAAAGAAGGTTCCTTTGAGAATCTGGTGCGTGCAAAATCCGTGCACAGTCAGATTGGAATAAGATTCGTGCAAAATCCGGTTGGTGCGAAACTCGTGCATGATCGGATTCGTGCGAAAAACGTGCAGATTCAGATCCGTGCAAAGTTGGAGCAGAATCGAAGATCGTCTAGGTCGCAAGAGAAGCAGATCTGTGATGAGTTCGGTTCGTGCAAAATCGGTGCGGATTCGGTTTGTGCAAATTTTGTACAAAGTCCGGTTTGTGCAAAAATCGTGTACTACCAACAAGAAAATATTAAACCGATGTGGAAAAACCGGTTGAAGATTCGAGGACGAATCTTTCTTGGCCGGCGAGACCTGATGCAGCGTGATATTTGGAATATTTCCAAATATCTTAAATATATTTATTATTTATTTATTTGTGTATTTTGATAATTATTAATTATTATTTATAGCTTTTTAGAATATTCTAGGGTTTTTATGATTTATTATAAATAAGCCGTTTAGGCATTCATTGTAATTCAGACTTTGATGAATTAATAAAAAGGAGATTTCCTAAAAGAGGTTTTGATAAACCACTGTGAAGAGTATTCACAAACCCTAGTTTCCGGGTATTCTCAGAATCAACGGATCTAGTTCTATCTGTAGTTGGTATCAGAGCAGCGTCTCTTTGATTTCTTAATCGAAGAACGATTCTGGATCATGGTGAGTAGTTGCATCTACACTTTCGAGGACTAAAGTCCTTTTGTCGAGAGAGAAGAGAGCCAAGAGATTTGTAGAGAAATCTATGGTGATCCGATATGAAGATGATGTTCGTGTTATGGACTTTATCATCAAAGAAAGTTCCTTTGAGAATCTGGTGCGTGCCAAATCCGTGCACAGTCAGATTGGAATAAGATTCGTGCAAAATCCGGTTGGTGCGAAACTCGTGCATGATCGGATTCGTGCGAAAAACGTGCAGATTCAGATCCGTGCAAAGTTGGAGCAGAATCGAAGATCGTCTAGGTCGCAAGAGAAGCAGATCTGTGATGAGTTCGGTTCGTGCAAAATCGGTACGGATTCGGTTTGTGCAAATTTTGTACAAAGTCCGGTTTGTGCAAAAATTGTGTACTAACAACAAGAAGACATTAAACCGATGTGGAAAAACCGGTTGAAGATTCGAGGACGAATCTTTCTTGGCCGGCGAGACCTGATGCAGCGTGATATTTGGAATATTTACAAATATCTTAAATGTATTTATTATTTATTTATTTGTGTATTTTGATAATTATTACTTATTATTTAGAGTTTTTTAGAATATTCTAGGGTTTTTATGATTTATTATAAATAAGCCGTTTAGGCATTCATTGTAATTCAGATTTTGATGAATTAATAAAAAGGAGATTTACTAAAAAAAGTTTTGATAAACCACTGTAAAGAGTATTCACAAACCCTAGTTTCCGGGTATTCTCAGAATCAACAGTTTTATCCGTAATAGCTTCCGCTCCATCATTTTCTCTATAAGTACTTTGAAATTCCATATCTTAGAATCACAAAACAACATACACCCCAGTTAACTAAGAAGATTATCAACAATGACTTTAAGAAACTCGAGAGAAGGTGGTAACTATGGGTTCGATGAAGGAAGTAACTCGGCGGCTTGGGAGATTGCTCTAATGGTAGAAGCTCAAAAGGAGAGAAAGAGAATAGTCGAGGCTCAAAAGGAGAAAGAGAAAATGAGAGATGCTCAAAATGAGATAAAGAGAATGGTAGAGGCTCAAAGGCAGATGGATATATTGCAGACTCAGCTAGATATATCGAGGATGGAAACTAAGATGAGGGCAAGAGCCAGAAAGTTTGTGCTCGACAATATCTAAAATATGAAAACTTTATCATGTGATCTTGGCGTCTGTAGCGCCCGGCTTCTAGAAAAAAATCTGAGTCGTTTCTATAACATAAAGCTTCACACAAATGATTAAACGACTCAGATTTTTTTCTAGAACCCGGGCGCTACAGACGCCAAAATCATATGATCAAGTTTTCTTATTTTAGATATTGTCGAGCACAAACTTGTTTTGGTTCGCTTTATGTTTGTTTTCCTCTAAATAACCATTATTAGGAGCGAGTATGCTCATGAAATGAGGTTTTTCTAACAATATATTTAGCCTTCGTAGATTGAGTCTCCAAGAACCGCAACGATCCACCATATGAAATTTTCTGACGACTAAAACCTATATTCCCTTTGAATGATTCGAACACGTTTCAACACTTCCTGGACGAACCAGACGAAGCTATTTGTAAGAAAGAAGTAACTGAGTTAAGATTCGAAAGTAATTGGTGTCAAAGTTACACGAAGCTCGTTGCCGTAAACATTGTTAACATATATGATACAAAAAATAGCAACACAACTAGATTATAGACTGATGAATTGGCCAAGAGTGCAATCTGTTCTTCTCTTCATGTAAACAAGAAGCTTCTTCAACCTCTGTAGATGCCTGAAGGATCTGCATTTTGCACAATCCACGGATGCTCCAGAAGCTTGTGCAAGGCCAAACGTTGCGTAGACTCCTTAACAAGCATCTGTTTTGATCAGAAAATTGCCAATAAATCAGATTTCACTCTTCAATGCAAGCAACAAAGCTTAAGAGAGAATTTACGACTAGAAACCTGGCTAATCAGGTCCTTTGCATATGAAGACACAATGGGTTTCGGAGGAAATTTCAGATCCACTTGCACAATCCTGTAGCAGTTATAGGACAATAACCACAAACATTGTACTAATCCCATCCTAAGCCTTACTTAATGAACTGTTTAAGTTACCTTCTGTACGTATCTGAATGCTCCCTAGCTTCAAAAGGAGGAACACCATAAAGAAACTCATAGCAGAGAACTCCAAGACTCCAGATATCGACACTAGCATCGTGTTCTACGCTTTCCACTGTAAACCCAAATAACATAAAAGTCAGTTGCAGAAGAAAATAAGTTAGAACACACAAATAGATTAACCTTTCACTTACCCATCTCAGGTGGAAGGTAATCAAGAGTTCCACACATAGTCCTTCTCCGGTTGAATGTGTGTACTGACCATCCAAAGTCTGCAATTTTAATCTCACCCTGAATAGTATATAAATGAAGAACACAAAATCAATCTGTAAGCTAACTTCAATCACATGGCGTTTATGGAGAAAGATTAGAATTGTGTTGTTACCTGAGCACCAATCAATAGGTTTTCTGGCTTTATATCTCTGTGTATTACATGCTTTCCATGGCAATAGATGAGTGCTCTCGCCAATGACGCAACATACTGCCACAATAAACGTAAGGGTTACTAAGCAAGAAGTGTGAATATACAAAAGACTAAGCAGATTCAGATTCAAGAGGCAAGAACATACAGTCGCTGCTCGACGTTCGCTGAAGTACTTGCATTTCTGAAGCTCTTTGTAAAGTTCACCTCTAGCTGCATACTGTAAAATCAAGTAAATTCTTTTCTGCAACAATCATAGATTCTTGTTATCCTCACAGAGACAAATATTGTATGTCAACGAAGAATCTTATTACAAAACACACATAAACACAACACCTGATCGTAGAAATAACCATAGAGGCGTAGAATATTGGGATGGCGAAGATGAGACTGGATCTCTACTTCCCTCCTAAGCTGGTGTTCAACTTGAGATTGTTGAAGCTGGCTCTTGAAAAGAACCTTTAGAGCCACAATGTGATTGCTCTGTTTTCAAACTTTCAACATTTAGTTTTATAAAAATCCACATCAACTCCAACGAACTCTAAATCGTGAAGAACACTAACCCGCTTTTCTCTTGCTAGATAGACATGCCCAAATTTCCCTCTACCAAGAGGCTTTCCGATGTCGAAATCGCTCAAAGTCCATCTCTTTTGTGCATTCTCCTGATGCAAAATCACACAGATTTAAATCCAACTCAACTCTAATCAAAACGATATCTAATCGCAAGAAACGATTCTGTATTGAATCAGATCTCGAAATTGGAACAAATTTGACAAAACCCAAGTCTTCTGTTAATCAAAAATTGAATATACGCTCTAGAAATTGCACTTTTCTAGGAACGTAGATCTATTATCTTTCAATCGTCGATAAAATCAAAGATAGTTTAGATCCCAAACCCTAATCCTGGGTTTTGTCGCTAAACCCACAAACATATCATTAATTTGATATTTCTCAAATTAATCAGAAAAGATTGAATTAACACGAAACGAGTCTCTTAGTCTCCTTCGGGCTCAAAGAAAATCGAGCGAAGACCTATCAATAACCCGAGATCACAAATTCATCAAAGCAAGGAACGAGATAGACTAGATCATGTTTAAAACCCTAATTTGATATGAAATCTGTAAAAGAAAGAGGAATCATGGGGGTTCGAAATCGTGAATCAGAAATCAGCCATTTCTTTACCTTCTCGTGCTGCTGCTGCGTCTCCGTAGATATTCCCATGAAAGAGATCGATGAACCAAGATAGAGAGAAAGAATAGGAGAGAGAGAGAGAAAGAGAAGAGAGACCAATTTACAAATGAATACAGATGGAATCATGGAATGAAGAAGAAAGGGACGAAATTTTAAAAAGAGGAAAAAAACGTCTACCAGCAAAGCAGCAACGGTCGAATTCAGAGGCTGTCACGTGTCAATATCCCATCGAGGTTTGTGTTCAAAAATGTTAATAGTGCGGGACGATTGTTTAATTCTATTTTTATTTTGAAGCAAGTAAATACTTATAAAATTATTAGTTTTCTATGCTGATCCGAGATTTATACAGCAAAATTTATATAAATTAATAAAACCAAAAATTATAATATTATTAATAAATTTTATTGAACAATTTTTTTTGTTTAAATCTATTTAAAAAAATAAATAAATCTCGATTTAATGAAAAAATTTAAAAAATAATTTTATCTTTAAAACTTTTTTTTCTAAAAAAACTTCTTTCTTCTTTATTTCGATTTCGACATTGAATCTCGATTTACTATGGGCGACTTCGTCCACCAACCTCTACTACAATTATTTGGGATCGATTTTATCGATTATTATCCGGTAGGAAGTTATCATGGCGGTTTTGGTTTCTTTGTCTCTCTCCTTCTCCGGAAACCGCCATGGATGCTCTGTATAAACACTGTTTTCCCTTTTTTGCAAACCACAAACCTTTTTTTTACGAGTGACAATTTACGTAAACGACTGCAGAATATTGATCCGAGACTCGAAAATGCCTCAATCGCTTTACCTGAAGCGATTTGTGTCTAAGTGGCACAAGCAAATCGTTCGCGATTATTGGTTGTCTAACGAATCCCAAAAAGCAGAATTTGCGTGCTATGATTGGGCAACTGCCAAGGTTATGGGATATGAGTGATTCTGTTACTAGACGAATTCTTGACTCTTCCAGATTTCAATTCAGAAGAGGCAATCAGTCTTGTCCTGCGATGTGGTCCTTGGTCCTTCAGCGAGTGGATGCTTGTCACGCAGAAATGGACTCCAACATTTGATGAAGCAACACTCAAACTAATTCCGTTATGGGTTCAGATACGTGATATCTGTGGAAGCCCGACCCGGCAAACTATACTGCAGCAATGCCTTCACTACATCCTAATAGTTCGGTTACATACTTAGCCAAAATTTTTGAACTTTTTCTTTTTATTTATCAATACACAGCAGATTTAAATAACTCATTTCATTCCATTAAACTTGTATAAAAACACTTAAACAAGATTCATGGGTTAACTTAAACAAAGCACAACGGTTCGCTAATGAATACATCATATCATCTAGCAACCTAAAACGCTTAACATCAAAGCCCATAAGATAAACCATACGTCTTAAACATAAAAATACCCAATCACCGATCCATCCATGTTCATCACTGCCGCCGGTCTTGCTCCACTTACTGCTTAGATCCTGCACACTCAAGAAGAGAGGCATAAATATTTGATAAATACTTAGTGACTACAGTCATCCCGTAACACCTTGGTCAGTACCATTCACGCATTCATACTATCGGATTGCAATAGACATAACATATATCAAACGGCCATGATCATCTGACGTAACCACCAAGAATCAATCCCTTTTTAAGACCCATGTCTACTTCAGCGAGAATCCCACATCCCCTAAGCTAGGTTATGATCCGGATTACCATAAGGTTAGCTAGACATCATTTATGCCACAGTAAGCATCCCACAATACCATAACACATAATCGCTTATCAGTTTCTAAACACACAACATGAAAATCACATAATCAAACATGCAAAACATTCAACCCAAGCAATCCAACGATCCTAGACACCAACCACAGTCACGCACTCACCTTAGACAAAGTTGGAAACAGATTGGTCAGAAGCAATCCTGATGAAATCCGCGTGGAAACGAAGATATCCGACAACCCTAGGAATCTCTCGGCTGTCGGTACGATCTGATCCCTTTCCTTTCGGCTATCTCTCGATCCGTTCACCTTTCTTCGAGCCTCAGAAACTCCACAAAACAAGGCTATTAGCTCGAGGTTATCCGATGGAAACTCGACACTTAGGGAATTATTCAGTCGCTTACCGATTTATCTCGGCGATGGTCGGATCTGCTCGGCGATGGTTCAAGCTCCTTGGCGGTTCTCAGGATAAACTGATTTTCTTAGGGTTTTCTCTCGACTAATCTCTTTCTTTGCTTTATTTCTCACAAATACACTCAATACTTTCGAGCTAAGTCTCAAAACGCCTTATATACTCGCAAAACCCTAGATAACACGGAATTAACCAACGTTTCCTGGTTCCAGTAGGAATTATCCCGAACTGATCCGATATCCCTCGGCTATTACCCATACCGGCTGACCATCCACCCGATAATCCACCAAAATAGCCGACATAACACTTGGCCCATGGCCCAATTCCCTGCCTTCGGCTGTTTGCCATTTTTTACCCGAATATTTCCTTTTCTCTCGGACATCCCGTCCCACTTCGGCTAATCCTCTTTTTCTCTCTGAGGTTTTCCTTTTTTTTTTTTTTAATCCCGGACACAGTCTACTCTCACTAGGACTAACTCCACTCTAACTCAGATTAATCCCATTTTCTCATAGACTGGACCATTTTCTCTCGGATATGGTCTATCCGGCTCGGCTATCTCAGCCATCCATCGACTATTTTCCAGTCATCACCCGACCATAATCTGAACCTCCCAGTTCCCAGCCAATATCCAGCTTTGGATCGATCATTCCTTGGACAATGTCCTGTTCGGCTTGATCATTCCGAATTTTTCTCGGATACGGATGCTACAACTCTCCCCCACCCGTTTTGGATTCGTTCTCGAATCCGACTCATCCGTTTGTAACTTATCAAACCATTTGGGATACTCGGCTTTCATCCTAGCCTCCTTTTCCCATGACACTTGTTCCTGTCTGTCGCAGTCCCATACGACCTGAACCATTCTTACCAGCTTTCTGTGCTTAGTCTTTTCTTTCCTGTCTATCACCCGAACCGGCCGAGCCACTACTGCAAGGTCCTCTTGCAAATCTGCTGGCAATTCCTCTATAACTGTTTTCCGTTCAGTTATATGCTTCCTTAGTTGCGACACATGTAATACATTATTGAACGATCCTAATTCCGATGGTAAGTCCAACTTCTAAGCCACTGCGCCAACTCTTTCCAGTATCTGGTACGGTCCCATGTACCTCGGACTCAACTTGGCATACTTAGGTGCCCTGTTCGTTACCTTATAAGCCAGTGCCTTCAGATAAACCATATCACCTACACTGAAATCCAAGTCCTTGCGACGCTTGTCCACATAAATTTTCTGCCTGTCCATTACCTCTTCCAGCTTGGCCTTTAAGAATCTGATCTTTTCTGTAGTAGCCTCGACCACTGCTGGCCCCAATACGCTATGCTCCCCCACTTGTGTCCAACACAAGGACGTTCTACACGGTCTACCATACAAAGCCTCATACGGACACATCTCAATGCTCATATGGTAACTATTGTTAGTCTTTTCTTTCCTCCCAACTACCACCCCAATCCAGTACACACGCTCTCATCATATCCTCCAAGGTTCTGATCGTCCGTTCTGACTGCCCATCAGTCTGAGGATGATACGCTGTACTCATGTGCAACCGCGTCCCACACGCTTCCTGGAACTCCTTCCAGAACCTCGAAGTAAACTTCGGATCACGATCTGAGATGATACTCACTGGCACTCCATGCAACCTCACGATCTGATCAATGTACATATCCACTAACTTTGGTACTCCATTCGTCTTTTTCATAGGTAAGAAGTGAGCAGACTTGGTCAAACGATCCACAATGACCCATACTCCATCATGCAACTTCTTAGTATTTGGTAATCCCACTACAAAGTCCATGGTGATCATGTCCCATTTTCATTCCGGCATTGGCAACATTTGCAACAAACCACTCGGGAACTGATGCTCTGCCTTAACCAATTGGCACGTCTCACATCCGGCTACCCACTTAGCCATATCCCGTTTCATCCCGACCCAATGATAGTACCGTTTCAGATCCTGGTACATCTTGGTCATCCTTGGATGAATACAAAACCTTGACTGATGTGCCTCCTTAAGGATATCATCCTTTAACTCTATTACATCGGGTACACATACCCGTCCGTTCACAACAATTGTCCCATTGTTTGAAGTCTGATATTCCGCCTAATCATTCTGTGACATCTTGTCCAGATTCTCATCCTGCTCCTGAGTGATCCGAATCCTAATCAACAAGTCAGCTCTATCCGCAGCTTCCAAACCCAACGGTTCAACCCCCTCTGTTATTGCATTCAACCGCAATGTCCTTAACATGTTCACAATGCTTCCAACATCCCGTTCTGATGATATGCTAGCCCCCCTCCTGCTCAACGCATCCGCCACCAAGTTGGCCTTTCCCGGATGGTATGCTATTTCCAAATCATAGTCCGCTACCAACTCCATCCATCTACGCTGTCTCAAGTTCAAATCCGGTTGAGTAAAGATATACTTTAAACTCTTATGGTCTGTGTATATCTGCACCTTTTCTCCATACAAGTAAGACCTCCATATCTTAAGTACAAATACCACCGCCGCCATTTCTAAATCATGCGAGGATAATTCCCTTCATGCTTCCGTAGCTGCAGCGAAGCATAAGCTATCACCTTACCATCCTACATCAGGACACACCCTAGTCCCTTCCGTGATGCATCCGTGTATACCACATATGGCTCAATCGGTTCTGGTATCGCTAATACTAGTGCACTAGTGAGTGACTCCTTTAACTTTGAGAAGCACTCTTCACACTCATCCGTCCAGACATACTCCACGTCTTTCCTAGTCAGCTTTGTCATTGGCTGAACCATACTTGCAAAGCCTTTAACAAACTGTCTATAGTAACCAGCTAGCCCCAGAAAACTTTTTATCTCTGTAGCGTTCTCTAGTCTTGGCCAATTCGCTATGGCCTGAATCTTCTATGGGTCCACAGACACTCCCTTATCCGAAACAATGTGACCCAGGAACCCCATATGCCGTTGCCAAAAGCTACACTTACTGAGCTTGGCATATAACTTATGTTCTCGCAACTTCTCCAGAACAGTTCTCAAATGACCTCTATGTTCCTCTTCACTCTTTGAGTATACTAGAATATCATCTATGAAAATGATCACAATTTCATATAGGTACTCCCT